AAGAGAAGGTGGGGGGGGTTTGCAAGGGTGCTGGTGCCAAGCACGACATGTTGGGGCTGAACTCAAGGAAAGCCTCAGAGCACTTCTCTGCAGCTCAAGTTGCAGCAGGGTGCCAGCCAGGCTCTCAGGAGGGTTCTCAGACTGTGGCCACCTGCCTCCCACCCAGAGAGCTTGCTGGGGGCAAGCTGTCCAGAGCAAGGCAAGGAAAGAGCTGCTCTCCTCAGAACAACAGACTAGCAGCCAGGATTTATTCTCTGGTTGCTTCCATAGCTCTGGTGAGGGTTGGCAGCCCAGCATGCTCTGCCTGCCAGCAGCAGGTGCTGGTGTCCCTGCTTATGCCACCTCAGTGAGGGGATGGGATGGTGCAGGGGTGCCAAAGAGCCATTCCATCGTGGCTCTGCTTCATGTAGGTTCTGCTGGGAGCAGCAATGGAATTTCGATGGGGCTGGGCGTTCCCATGTAGTGATTCCCCCAGGCAGGATCTGGCTGTGATGACTGTTCTGTGCAGGGAATAAATACCAAAGGAGTTACTCACGACTCACTGGGGCATGATGTAGCAACTCCTCGCTGGTTCCCCCCACCCTCCAGCCAAAGTTCCTCCTGTGATCTCCTGGGGAAAGTCCCAGCCCCTCCATTCTCTCCTGCCACCCCCCAAGACCTCACCCACCCTTGTTGGAGCTTTCCAGAATCAGGAGACATGCTGGGGTTTGGGGAGAGAGGAAAGGATCAGCACAGCATGCCGTGCTGCCCCCATGGCTCTTGCATGCTTTGTCTGACAGTGGGCACAAAGCCAAGCTATGAGATAGCATCAGCGTGGGGTACCCACACCTGGGCAGCCACACATCCAGCTCCAGACCTGGCAGAAGTGCAGAGTGATCAGCTCAGGTCTCTCGATCGCCTTGTTGTTGGTCACACTAAGGTCAGGTTTCCCATTGCTCTGCACAGATGTGTGGACAAGAAATGAGATTTACTTTCAGTTTGTTTAAAGGTGCTGGAAGGATTTCCTACTCTTGGAAATAGGGAGCTCAAACTTTGAGAAAGGCACCAGCCTTTGTAAGACTCCAGCAAAGCCACCTAGATGATGGTCCTTTTGCAGCAATGACCCCTGCGGGTGGAGGAATCTCCGTAATACATACAACACTGAGTAAGTTCCACCTGTTCGTATGGTTGGTTGGGAACAGTTCCTCCATGCAAATGTGAGGAAATTTGACTCTTTGGTGGGACTGGGACCAATCCTATCTGCCAGCCAAGAATGAAGCAAATCGGGCAGAGGGACATGGGAAGAACCCCCAGTGATAAGTCAACCACATTGAGTTTCCCTAGTCAAGGGAGGATTGCATTTCTGTCCCGGAGAAGGAGGAAGGCTACACTTAACCTGAAAGAGGTTGGGTTTGAGATACACGGTACCCAGGGAGCCCAGTCCTGCCTAGAAAATGGCTCTGGGGGCTCAATAGTTATCATGGGAGAGGAGGTGTCCTGCAGGCTTCTTGTGTGGTTGGAAGATGGGCACTTGGCAGCTGGTTTACCAATTAGGGAAACACAGGGACACTGCCTTTGCAACCACAGGCTCTCTGATGTCTTGCCTGTGGATCCCAGATGCACAGCAAGGGAAACTGCAAAGCAGAACATGAGTGTTGGTATTGCACTGGGAGCTCATGGGATGGTCCCAGGAGAAAAGGAGCTTCTTTTGTGATAAGGCAGCACATGCCTTGGAGCTACCTGTACCCTGAGCTGGGGGTGAGTTATGTCCTTGGGAGAATAGTCCATGCCTGCAACCCCTCTCTGCATCTTTAAACACATCTTGTCCCATGACACACTTCATGCCCAGCCAGCAGCAGGGCTCAGGGTGCCCGCAGCAGTGTTATGAAACGAGGACACGGGGCTCCTCCCTGCTGCACCCAGGGCACATGCTTCCTCCCAGCCTGGTATTTTCCCCCTCGATTTTTTTTTTTTTTTTTTTTTTTTTTTTCCCCCTTCATTTATTATTTTGCATCGCCTCAAGGGGCGCAAAACTATGGGAGGAGCAGGGAAGCTATCAGCCGGGAGATACCAGCAGTGTGATTCAGCAGGCTGGATAGGTGCCCTCCCTGCCGCTGCAGCGGGGTGCCAGCAGGAGGGATGGATGCAAGTCTGCAGTACCTCGCTTCTGTCCCTGGCCCTGCCCCAGGCATCTCCCAGCAGCACGGGGGCAGTTGCAGGGCTATGGGGCCATTATCAAGGATTTCCATGGCTGGATGGAGTCCAGCGTGTACCCAGACAGCTCCAAGAGCTGTGATGTCAGCAGGGCACTGTGGGGGGCAGTCCTGAGGGCCCCAACCGTCCTGTTAGCACACGCAGGAGCAAAGCCTTGGACAGGAGGAAGAGCATTCAGCACTGTCTCCAATCCACTTTTATTCACAATTGGGAAATAACTTACCATACAATAACACAGGCACGCACAGCACAGTCCCGGGCACCCTCCCCTCTGGCATGCCACTACAAGAGGCAAGACCCATCTGGGGGGCTGTGCCCCCTCCGTCCCATAGGATGCTCCATCCCAGGGATGCTCCGTCTCCATCCCATGGAATGCTTCCGTCTCCATCCCTGGGATGCTCCATCTCCATCCCAGTTGGTGCGCAGCCCTGCACGCAGCCAGAGGAGCCTGTGTGTGATGCCAGTGCATCCCCCTGCCCTCCCACCCCATGCCCCGCCATTCCCATCCCACCCCACCCCATCCCAGCGCCCACCCTGTGCCCCCCGAGCGGTGCTGGTGTCAGCAGTCTGTACAGCGTGGCTGTGCGCTCCCGGTGCTGCGGGGCTGGGTGGGCACAAGCAGCCCCCACCCTGGGTGACAATGACAAAGTGCTGGTTTCGGAGGGCCCTCGTGCTGAGCATCTCCAGAGCGGAGGGAAGCGGCGGATCCATCGCTCCCCAGCGCCAGGGCGAGCTCGTCCCTGGCACCCTGGGGCGAGCGGGCAGCTACTTGCAGACACTGACCCACTCGGTGATGCGGCACTCCTCGCACGCCACGAAGCAGCACCAGTGGAACTTGCAGTTGCAGCGTTCGCTGCGGGTTTGCCGCAGGATGTTGTGCCCGCGGCCGCAGCACAGGCTCTCGCAGTTGTCCATGCCCGGGCTGGTCTTGTTGCACAGGCGGCCTTGGGTGCCCAACGAGTCCAGCGCTGGCTCCCGCTCACAGAAGTCAGGCGACTTCTCAAAGTAGACCAGCTCGCTGATGCCGGCGCGGCGGCGATGCCGTGCGTGGCCCGGCTCCAGCTGCCCTGCATTGCGGTTGTGGGGCCGGATGAGAGTGGCCCCATAGAACCGGTCCTTGAGGAGGGATCCCACCAGGCGAAATTCGGGTGTCACCTGCCAGCAGGTCTTCAGCTGGCAGCTCCCTGAGGTGCCGTGGCATTTGCACTTCCTCCTCATGTTGTCCATCACTACCTGCGGGGTGGACAGGAGGGCAGAGGAGTTAGCAGGAAATATGTGGCATTTGGGGGATAGAGAAAGCAACAGTAAGCTCCCTGGGGATGGGTGATGTGGGAGTACCATGTCACACCAAGAACTAAATTTCAAGCAGAAGCCAGAGATGGTCACAGTCTCAGCCTGTGATTTGGGGAGGCCATTGCCATGTGTCTGCTCCCACAAAAGTCAGCGCTCTAGGAAAAAACACTTCTCAGAAAGAATGGTGATGCACTGGTGCAGACTGCCCAGGAAAGTGGTAGAGTCACTCCATCCCTAGAGGTGCTGGAGAATGTGGAGATGTGGCACTAAGGGCATGGTTAGTAGGCAGGGATGAATTGACGGTTGGACTAAATGATCTTAGTGGTCTTTTCCAACCTTGATGATTCTGTGATTCCATACAGTTGCACTGGTTGAGGAACGTGGCTAACCAAGGGATAAGGAGGACCACTGTGGCTATGCCAGGAGGAGGGGACAGTGCCAGCAGCCAGGGTCTGCCAATCTGCTTTGGCCACGCCAAGGCAAACAGCTCATGCCCAGTAACCCATGGGCACAGAGCTGCTGCACACCTCAGACAGAAGCAGCTTGCGCCGCTCTAGGCTCCATAGGCTCCATCCCTGGCTCAGGGACAGAACATCTCCTGCTGCTACCTCAGGAGCAGCGAGGAAGTTAGCAGGCCAGTCCCCATGCCCCACTCTGCACCCCTTGGCCCAGAAGTAACTACATAATAAGGGAAATTAGCTCCAAATTACAAAGCACAGAGAGATGGAAGGCACTTTGAAGCACTTTGCCACCAGCTTTGTCGTGGTTGGGAGGCAATTTCCTGCCACCGCCTCAGCCTCAGCATGCAGAGTTTCCCTATGGGGCTGCCTACCCCCAGCCCCAGCAAATCCCCCTCCCACGGGGACATCCCAACCCCTCTGGGTGCCCAAGCCAGGCTGGGGCTGGCACACGACATCCCACACATGCTAATAGAATCACATGCTTATGCTCCATGGGGGTTCGAGGGGACACGTGGCCCCGTGCGTGGCCACATCCCATGATGTCCCAGCCGTCCTGGCCACCCTGCTTTGTGCTAGGTGCACTTTGTCTGTTCCTTCTCCATCCCTGGGGGAGATGCATGCACAAGGAGTGCCTTGTTTTGGTAGGGGTGGGTATTTTTTGCAGCTTGTTTTCTTGTTTTTGAGTAAATCTCCCCGTTGCTAAGCACTTATGGTAATGAAGGTAGGTCAGGGAAACACGCCTGGAGCTCGGGGCACATGGCACAGAGGTCTGGGCTGGGCTGGAGGTTGGCTTTCATCCTGCGGAGAGACCTGTCTCCTGCTGAGAACAGCCTCTGCCTCGCAGGCCATGAGCTGTGCCCATTCGCTTGCCATGCCCTGGGTGTGCCAGCAGGGAACACCAGCTGCTTCTGCCATCCTGGGAACATGCTGTCATCACGATCCCTTCCCTCTCTTTCCACCTCCTTTCCCGTGGCTGAACCAGGGAAACCCATACGCAAAGCTGCAGTTCTCATGGGGATGGACCACCCAAGCCACCATGCCAGGCATCCCAAGCCCTGCATGGTAGCATCCCAACCTGCAGACAGCTGCTTCTCCCTCTTCATTAGGAGCAAAAGCCCACTGCACTTATGAGTCCCAGGAGCACCTCTGCCACCATCTCTCCATCACACACCCCTACCCTGGCCAGGTCCTTCTCCCATCTCACAAACACCCGCGTTCAGCACATGCCCAGACTCGCCGGTGCTTTCTTTCACACATTCCCAGCTCCTCCCAGACACGCTCATAAGAGCTTTATCGTAGCCCTTTGTTGTGAGGGTAATGGGTAGTTCCAGGCTGCCTTTCATCCTCTTGCTCTCTGATCCGGCGGGTTAGGAGGGCTTGCAGAGCCTCCTGCATGCTATGGGCTGCTCAGTTTGCATAGGAAGCTCCAAAGCGACCAGTTGCCCTTGGGCTCCCTATACAAGCTCAGGGCCACGATGACCATTGCCCATATGGCTTGGAGGATGCTGTGCTTCACTGCTGGATTTGAAAAAGGAATAGGGGTGAGTCTGCCTGGTTTTGAATCAGGGACCTTCCACGTGTCAGGTAAACGTGACAACCACTACACTGTAGAAACCCACGTGCTGCTGCCATCAACAGTGGCCTTCCATGGCATTGTCATCTCCACAGGCAGTGCACGGTGTGAGCTGGGAGCCAGGCATGTGCTGGCCCTCTCTACATGCAGAGAACCCTTGCGATGCACATGCTGAGCATCCTCAGTGATAAAGATGCAGTGGTTAAGGCTGGTGCATGGAAAGGGACAGTGCTCTGCACATGGTGGCCAAGCACTGCTCAAGGGATCAGAGCTCAGTATTCCCACCACAGGAGAGGAGAAGACTGCAGAGCTGCTGCACCCAGCACTGCCAATCCTTCCTGGGGAATCCCCAGCAGATTGTTCCTTATTTGTGCAGAAAGATATTCCTAGGAGTGAGGGCACGGCATGGGTTTGTGGAGTGTGCAGAGTCCATCCCCAGGCAGTGCACTTGGCTAGATTTAGCCTCAGCAGGAGCTGTGGCACCCAGGGGCAGTGGCCAGGTATGGCATCACCATCCTGCCCCCATTCACGGCTCCCATGCACAGCTCCTACAGTCATTACAACTCAATCTCCGAAGGGACTGCACCCTCATTTCTCCAAAGTTCTGGAGCTGGGCACCCTGCCTGATCAATGCTGCCTCACTGCCTTCCCCTCCTTCATCCCTTCAGCCCTCCTCTTCCTCTTCTTCCAGCTCCAGCCTCATCCTGCCCACCTAGCTCATGTCTCTGAAGCCACCAACAAGTGAGTGACAAGGCCATTGCCAGCCCCCTGCCACCTCCTGTTTGCACCTGGGGCAATCAGACCCCACACCCCAGATCCCTGAGGTGCTGTATGGTGGCTATTTCCTCTGGCAGTGAGGATGGATGCCCAGGTTGGGAATCAGACCTGGGATTGCTGTCCCCGCCGCCATCACCCTGATGCCGCTCACCTGCCGCCCCACACGGTTGTTGTGCAGCCTCATGCGTGAGTGGATGTCCCTGTAGGTTTCCCGAGAGTCGAGGAAATCCTTGGAAAACTTCTCCCCATAGTCCACATCAGGGCTGCACCCACCCCACTCCCAGGAGTCCTGGAGGCCGGGGGTCTCGGCTGGCATGTGCTCCATGTGCACACCGTGCACCATGCCTTTGCCACGGTTCATGGCCTCCAGCTGGAGCCGGTGCAGCTTGCGGCGGAAAGCCTCCTCGTCGCCCCGTCGCTTCTGGTCACATCCACATGCCTGCAGCTTGCCGAGGGCGCAGGCGTTGGAGACGGCGTGCACCACACCGGCGGCCGCAATGGCGTAAGCGAAGGCGCTCTCCCGGAAACCTGCAGGGATGGAGAGAGCGGGGCTCAGGATGGGCTCGTGGAGCACCAGCAGAACCCCTCTGGGTGTGCTCGTGGCCCATTCCTGAGCCCCAGCACTGGGAAGCAAGGATGGGATGCACCCCAAAGGATGGTCACCTCCCCCCCAGCTGTGAGAATCTCTTACAAATGTGATACAATGCTGGAAAAATTGCGCATCCCCACTTTTAGAACGTGCCATGACCACACCACACCCTGCCAGGGCAGGCAGCTGGTTGTCATTACACACTGGGGAGTGAGGACATTTGCACATGTCATTAGCTGCAGATGGGGCGGCCAGGGACAGGGACACTGCCCAACGTGTGGGCTCATTGCTGGTGATGCTCGCCAGCACGCATGCCTCCTCCATGGTTCGTAGCCGACTGCTGAGCAAATGCTATAATCTTATTAAAGGGAAATGAAACGCATCTCGGAAACCTGCATTTAAAGTCGTGCTGCTCTTTTGTGTGCTAATTTGACACCGCTGCATTTAAAAAATTAACGAGGTGCTGCTTAAAAGCAACTGGGAGCCTCTCCCAGCTTCTCTTCAGTGTCGGACAAGCTTGCTCTGAGCCAGTCCCTTCCAATGCACAAGTTGAACAACATTTTTCATCAGGCAGGTAATGGTGCAGCTCCCAGGGAGGCAGTGCTGGTAACACATCCACACCCGAACAGCCCCTGTGCCCCTCTCCGTCTCCCCTCCCCACCCCTTCTGCCTCCTCCTCACTCTGTGCCCCTGGCTGCCCCTGCCCTTGCCCAGCTCCTCCTCCAAGCACCATGCTCTCCACTCCAGCCTTGCCTTTCCGTTAGCCCCATTCTCAAGTTCCCCCAACCTAACTCACAATTTCCCACGCAGCATCTCCTTAAAATCCCTTCTAGAGACCAGACAGAAGCACTACCCCACCCATTTTGTCTACGAAGCCTGTCTCCTTGCTGGTGAAGAGGTTGAGTTGGTTCAGTGCCCTCCACAGCAGTGAAACCCGTGAGGTTGAACCCCAGCTCTTCTCCATCCCTTGCAGCCCTCCAGCCGAGCAGGATGGACAAGGCTGAGGGGTCTCTGTCTCCAGAGCATCCATCCCCCAGGCCCTGGACAGTCAATGCTCTTGTCCCCAGGTAGCAGCTGAGCCAATATATTTCTGCATGCAGAGTCATCTCATGGTCCTTGCTCTAAGAACCCAGATGTGGCAGCAAAGCAGTGAGCAAGGTGGCTGAAGCTGACAACCACGGACACCACAACCTGGGCAAGGGAGGATTTTCCAGGAACCACAACCAAGCGTGGTATGCATCAGTCCTTCAGAGGGAGTCTCTCCAGCTGCCCAAGCCACCTAAGACCTTGATGGTTACAAAGCCACCAGATCCCTACAGGAACTGCAGAAGAGGCTGTAGCCATGGGAGAAGCAGGGAGAAGGGCTGTGGGAAGCACTGCATCCTTCTGGGAAGAGAGAATGGAGGACAAGACCTTCACAGCACAACCAGGACCCAACCTGCCATGTACTTAAAGGACTGTTGGGCACCCACTAAGAGATCTTTCTTTCCAATATGCAAATGATGGGTCCAAAAGGTTCAGACCTGGGATGGGTCTCCATGTCAGATCCCGAAGCAGCTTCCTTAGCTGGGAAAATTCTCCATCATGGCTCTCTGCCTCTGGACACCTCAGAGATGGGGGGCATTTAGTGGGACCCTGAGATGCACTCTACCATGGGCACAGCAGCTGCTCCATCTCTCAGGAGGGTGTGGGACCAAGGAGGTGGTCCCAGCCCAGAAGTGGCCATGGGCTCCATGGGCTCCTGGGGCAATGAGAGCTGGACGCTGTACACCATAAAACTCTTCCTAGCTCTTCTCCCACCACCTCCCACAACAGCCGGCTGGTCCCAACACGCCACCTCTCCCCCAGTCCCGCTCCCTCCCTCCCTCCCCTTTCCCTAATTAAACTGCAGGTGAACCTGCCAGGCTCTGGCCCCTCGCCAGGTGCTAAACGGCTTCCTGCAGATCGCGACTTGCCTCCCTGCACCTCCCAAGCGTGCCAGGGACAGCCTGGAGCCCTCGCTCCGAGCACGCAGCTCCCATCCGCCCATGGCACTGCCAGCCAGGAGCTCCATGGGCTGCGGGGAGAAGAGATGCTGCCCATCGCCAAGGGCATTGATCATGCCCATCTCCTTGGGGGAAGATCCAGGGACTGTGGGCACCCACAGAGATGCGGCTGAACAACCATAGCACCTGCATGTGCTTTAGGGCCAGGTGGGCAAAGTCCTCAGCTTGCTTGAGGGTAGCGAAAACCCAGCCAAGAACCCAGCTGCAGCTGTGCCTGGCCAGGCACTGCGGTCTGCGGGCATTGGTGCTTGGCTAGGGCTCTGCGTGGCTGGGCGCCGGGGTCCCAAGCTCTGGACGGCCATAACAGCACCTGCCTGCTGCATGCTGCCCACACCAAGTGCGGCTCACAGCTGGTTGTTCCCCAGCACCTGGCTCTCCCAGCCTGGCAGGGAGTTCTCCCCTCCTTGCTGGGTGATTCAGGCTTTGGCTGGGCCCCACAGCCCCCTTGGCACCTGGGAGTCTTTCCTGGGGGATACAGGCTTGCAAACCTCACCAAGCCTCCAAAGGCTGCAAAGGAAATCAGAGGGACACTGCGCTCCAGGACACTCAGGGTATGGTTCCCACTTCTTTCAGAGCTGTAAATAGATGGGATTGGGATGAGCCAAGGGCACAGAGACATACTGGACCCCTCAGCACCCCTCAAGCAGCCTCTGCCCCACAGCCAGGCAGTGCCAGTGTTGCACTGCGCCATGGGTGCGTTGGCATGTGCAGGACCAGGATAAGAGTCACCTGCAGTGAAGCTTCTGGCATACACCCATGCGTGGAGCAGCCCAGCCAACAGCTCCTGGGCACCAGGGACAATCCACAGCAGATCTCTGTACACCTGCCCCTGCTGGCCATCAGCATCCTATTCCCCACTATTCTGTCCAGAATAGGGTTCCCACCATGCCCAATGTGAAGCCTCCCTGCTTCTTCCCAGCTCCCCAGGGCTTGCATCAGGTCTATGGGACCAAGCCCCAGCTCTGTGTGACTGAACTGGGCTGGGTGTATGGTGCTGAGTGCTGGGGAGATGCGTGAGACGTGGTAGGACAGGGTGGAGCAGGCAGAAGAGGGGAGAGCAGAAGGAGAAGGCAGCTACAAATAATTTAAAGTGAGGTTCACGCACGGCTGAACTGATGGCAGAAGAAGTGGGAAAAGGAATGAAAGATTAAAGGGGTCTGTCACTTCAGGTTACAAACAACGATCCTTCGAGTGCGCTGCGTTCCCAGGCACGGCAGGGATGGGGCAGAGACCTGATCCCTGCAGACCAGATGCATTAATGCCTGCGGCATGGAGCCTGCACCCCTTGCTTCGCCTCTCCTTCCAGAGATGCACCCTACATCCCTGCTTCAATGGCTGTTCCATTCCTGTGAGTCTCTGCAAGGCAGAGCCCAGAGCTCCAGCTCCAGTACTGAGAAATCTGAGTGGGCTGGAAGCAGATCAGGGCATCAGCCTTGAGACTCGCTCTATGCCAAAATGGTTCTGAGCAACCACATAGGATGGTGCTCAGAGCTCATCCTGCATCCCAAAGAGGTGCCCACCTCCCAACATCCTTATCTCCATCCTCCTCCTGGATCACAGCAAAGTGCTGGTAGCAGGAGACAGAAACATCTCCACAGATGGTGTCCTGGGGTTGAGAACGTTGTGGTGTCTCTGCCACTTTCTGCTGAAGCTTCTCACCACCCTGGTGGGATGCTAGTGGTACCTCACCTGGGTGCAGGAGCAGCTCAAGCCAGTGAACCTGTGTCTCTGCCTCCTGAGGAGAGCAGAAGCAAATGCATTCCTCCGAGACCTGGAAATACCACGATGCTTATCAGGGCTGCTGGTCCTCACCCTCCCTGCCATGCCCTAACCTGGGCACTGCTCACTGAGGTGCTGGCGCTGCCACCAGCACTGCCTTGGCCTCTCTCATCCATGGCATGGACCAACGAGCACCCTGCTGTGTGCTGAGCATCAGGCCCCATGCACAGCAAGAAGACGCACCCAAGTCCTCCAGAAGGTCCCACCATCAGGCCACTACCCTGAGCTGCAGGCAGCAGAGCTCCCAGGGGAGCCTGCCTGTCCCCAGGTGGTCCAACCTCCATGCCCCATAGTCCTGCAGACAGAGAGTCCTCAGCTCTGGGCAGCCAATTCCAAGGCAGGACACCAAGATGATAGGCTCACAGACCTACATCTCATTGCTTCTGCTCATCATGATGCACCAAAACATTGTTCCTGCATAGGAGTGGGAGTGAGACAGGACACTCAGTCCATCCCGAACCGAATCCCAGAGTAAGGCATCCACCTACATCTATGGGGAAGGGAAGCTGGAAAGTTTTGGGCAGCTCGGGACAAGGTCAAGAAAGAAGACACATAGAGAAGAGCCCAGATCTGCTGCTGCTTGCTCTGGCAGACCTTCTCGTTTCTTCATATCCCTGCCTTCACCTGCAGGGTGCTGATCTGGCCCAGTCCCCTGGGCTACAGAGGAGATGTGGAGCGCCCACGGGGAGTCTATGAGGATCCTGAGAGCGGTTTCTGAGCAAAGGATGAGAAAAGGAGAGGGTCCCTTTGGCCCTTACCTCTGCTGAAGATGATGCTCTCGTAGGGGATCTTGTTCTTGGTCTCGAGGCTGGAGCAGTTCCAGCGCTGGTCCCGGAACTGGTGCTGGCACTCGTGGATGGCGATCTGAATGCCCTGGATGGCTGAGGCTGTCACGTCAGGATGCCGCACACACACCTCCAGCTGCCTCCGCGTCAGCCCCGGCAGGGTCAGGCACACCGTGTTGGCGTTCAGCACCGGCTCCGATGGCAGCTTCAGGCCCAGGATCTCATTGGAACAGGAGCTTGGGGGCAAAGGGAAACGTGTGAGCTTGGGGTGAGCAAGGTGCTGAGAGCTTGGGGAGGGGGAAGACCTTGCGGGGGCACATGGGAGGGGAGATGCTCCTCTCCCCACACAGTGCCTGCTGCCTGCGGGTGACAACAAATCAGCATGCTGCAGGTTTTACTCAGGTTTTACTTGTCCATCCACAGAGATTCCAGAGCACAAGATCCATCCCAGGTGTGGTTTTGTCCATGCTGCACCCTGTATGGCACTGCTGGTCCTCACAAGGGAAGTGACCAGAGGGACCAGCCTTTCCTGGCTGGGAAAATCAGAGCTGAGCACCCTGATGCATTACTCACAAACTTCCGGCAGTCATTCCAAACCCATCCATAGTCACATCCCAACACCACTGACCATGATGGCAGTCACTTCTAAGACCAGAAAGCACTGGCAGGTAGATGGGGACAAGGCAGTGGGGTGCAGGTACTTCTCGAAGCAGAGATGATGTCTTGGGAAATAGAGAAGTGGATGAAGTGTGGGAGACAGGAGATGAGGGTGGTACGGCCAGCACAGGCAGATGTGGAGAAGAAGATGGGTAGGACCCACAGTGTGCAAGCTAAGGACCTGCAGGGTGCACAGCAGGCAGCGGGATGCCAAAGAGCATCCTGCACCTTGCACCAGGGTTCAGCACTTCTCCTCACTCAGGACAGCTCAGTCGCCAGGCAGGGATCCCTGTCCTCCAGAACAACCAGGAGTTGGGATCTTGGTAGGAGCAGGGTGCAGGAGCCCTTTGAACCTAGGTTACAGAAGTGAGATTTGGAGGAGAATGCTGCAGGAGGGACTGCAGTTCCCACATGAAGCACGCAGGCCCTGGGAAGGAGGGCTGCTCTCCCTCTGCTCCCTCAGGCCCTGCCAGGCGAGGGAGAGAAGCAGCACTGGAGGCAGGGGCTGACTCCCCCAACGAAGGAGGAAGGGCTCAGCCTGGTGTCCTTGCAGAGTTAAAGCTTGGTCAGGACAAAGGGAGCTGTCAGCGTCAGGCTGCTGCTGTCTGCAGCTTCTCAAGTGCATTTACACCCATCCCACCACTGCCATGGAGCGATCCATAGGTCTGCCCCACCACAAATCCACACTGACTGCAAAAGGGAAATATAGGGCAGGTGGGAGCAGAGAGGAACACAAGGGAACATATCTGTCCATAGCACACAAGAAGGATTCTCTGCCTGGCTCTAGCTCCCATTCACACTCCCTGGCTGACACCAGATGTGAGGGCATCTGTGGCCAGCACCATCCCCAGGCCCAGCAGCTCTTTCCCCAAGCACAGCAAGGACCTTATCCCCTGCTTGTCCTGACCCAGCTCCAGTGCCTGCCACCTTCATCCAGCAGCACCCCGGGGGACAGATAATGTTGTCACTCTCCCCATAGCACAGAGGAGAAACTGAGGCAGGGGCACTTCTGTAGGGCCTCGGGAGAGGAGGGCAGGTCCTGCTGCCTCTCACTCCTCCCAGAGCTCATGGGAGTGAGGGACCCGCACGGGGGCTGTCACTGTCACCGTCCCTAGGAGGACACAGCGCTCCCCCCAGCTCTCTCCCCCTTGAAATCAGGATTTAAACTTGATTTCACGGTGACAAGCCCCCGGGTCACAGGCTGCAGCGGCTGCTGCTTTAATTAATACAAGGCCCAACGTTAACAAATTATATTTAAAGGGGCTGGAGGGAGGGGGAAGGGCGGGGGACTCCCCCCCACCAGCAGCAGCGTTAACCCCTGGCTGCCTGCAGCGCACAAGTTTCGGAGCAGGCAGAAGGGAGCTCCCACTCACCCCGGGGAGATGGAGCAGGACGGGGGCGGTGAGTGCTGTGGGGGGCTGCGTTCTGGAAGGCAGGCGGCCCCCAGCCGCCCCAGTTCGCCTTCGGGATCGGCAGAGCCGGGTTGGGGGGGGGGAACCGGGCCTTATCCCCCGCCCCGGTGCGAGGTCCCCGGGTGCAGGGCCCGAAGGCACCGATGCCGGCGGCACGTCTTCCTCGACGGCGGCAGCGGCCCCCGGCGCCGCTCCCGCATCCCCCGACCTCCCGCGGGGCAGAGCGGGGAAACTGAGGCAGGCCGGGCAGCCGCTGGAGCGGCTCGGGCCGGGAGGATGACGAGAAGCACCCGGAGCGGGGGGAGCAGAGGCCCTGACAGCGCCCGGAGCGCGAGGAGCGGGGCGGAGGGGCGCGCGGGGCGGCGGGGGGACCGTACCGGGGTAAGGACCGCATCAGGGGGAGGACTCGTGGAGCCCCTCCGCAGCTCGACCGCGGAGCGGGGCTGTGCGCGGCGGCTCGCCGGGGGCCGGGGCGCTGGGGGTGGGGGCAGCTCCTACCTGGGTACCCAGAGGCTGAGCAGCAGCGAGCAGAGTCCGTGGGCCAGGGCCGGGCGCATCTTCGCTGGGGCAGCGGCTGTGCGGGCTGCGGGCGGGCGGGCGCCTTTGGGGCAGGGGCGGCGGGGCTCGGCGCTGCTCTCTGCCCGCTTTGTTTGTTGTGGGTTGTTTGCTTGTTTGTGTTTTCCCCTCTCCTCCCTCTCACTGGCTCCCTGCGCGCCGGGGCTCGGCTCGCCGGGGCGGCTCTGCCATCCTCCCGGGATGCCCCCCCCCCCCGCCCCCCCCCCCCCCAGCGCCCTCCGAGCCCGGCGAGGGCTGCGTGCCCCCCGCCCTGCCCACCGCCGCCCCGCCGCGCTCAGCCTCCCGCCTCAGCCCCCCATAGCGGCGCGGCCCAGGGGGCCGGGGGGGGCCCTTGGCCG